AACTTTTTAAAAATAAACGAAATCGTATAAATTGAGTGTATTCATTCACCACAGCATTTTAACAAATGACTATTTTATCACATTGTTTCGATGAGTAAATATAATACATATTATTTATTATTAGGTACAATATTTAAATCTCCGATGAAAGTATGGAATAAATATTTGCAAGAACTACTAGAAAGTTAAAATTGGTCCTATACTTGACACAATGTGTGTAAAATGACTAAAAAAATATTTTTTCTTACCTTTTAGCTAATCCTCTAATTTACAAATCCTCTAAACTAAAAACATAAATTTGTTTTCATACTGACTCACCACGAGTCGTTTTACAATTATATTACGTTACTTGCCATTCTACATGACGGTCCATTTTCTTTTGTTGTATTGTGTAAATAACCCAACATTTTCTAAAGTCTTTACCCTTTTTTCTAATACCCGTACCTCACGACCGAGGGGGAAACCGCTGAGGGCATTGTGGTGTACAGATTTGCGGCATTACCGGGCATTACTAGGGCATTTTTGGGGCATTACGTCTTGCTGAGGCATTATAAAGATAAAATAAGATAAAATAAGATACAATAAGATACAATAAGATAAAACAAGATAAATAAGATAAAAGAAGATAATAAGATAAAGTAATGCCCACTGGGCATCAGTGGGCATTAGTGTAAAGATTTTGGTCAGCGGTTTCCTCCTCGCTCACGACTGTGTGCGATTTCTACCTGACTTCCAATGCAGAGACAAAACTTGGAACGGAATCATAAATCCGTCCGTGTCACAAAAACAAGAGTGCACCTGAGAGACCTGTGTCACACAAACGTGCGATAAAAGTTTACACGCATTCTCGTGACGCACGTATTTATTACGGTCTATCTAAGTGATCGATCGTGGCGTATCGATTCTCATGGTTTTCGCCGTGGCATGCTAATTCCATCTCGTGTGAAACAACAAACATGTGGCATTTAAATATAGCGAACCACCGTGCGTTTAAAATACAATTCATCCCCGAGCGTAGCTCATCCATGAGAAAGTAACGACAGATGGTTCGAAACTATCCGTCGAAAACGAATCACCGTGGTGGTCGGCTAGCAGGTTGACGCGGGTGGTTGAACACAGCGTCAGTTGGTTCCCAATCAGTGCAACACATCGAGCTAATCAGGGCGATTATTCAAATCTATCAGATAGTGATGTTTAACTGTTCCTGGCACTTGCAATAATTTTCCTTTACACGTACAATAATGGATAACAAATTAATCATAGACACAAGATGAGATTGTTTGCATTCTTAAAATTGTGGAGCATTATTTAGATTCGATATCTCTTGAAATCGTTAATACAGGACAAGTCGATCTCTCTTTGCAGATGTAAAAGGGGTGCGTCGGGCATCGGCAGATGACGGATAGACATTGCTCTAGATCAATTATATATGGACACGTACACTGATAGCGAGCGGCTGTCTCTTAAACAGATGTCACTGCATTCCCATGCTCGTTTACCGCGTGCCACCTGATGGCGCGTGAAATGATAGATCGGCGGGAAACAAGTCATTTAGCTGTACATACAAAACGTTATGTGTAACTGTGTGCATATCTGTATCGATTTCTACTATTTGCAATGATCCTTCTTGAACTCCACATCACTCGGGTGACTTTTTTTTTACGTAATTACTCGGGTGGGGTGTATTTTATACTTGGACGTTATATCTCAATTTTTATTCTATTCTCTCGTGATTGTAGCCAAATAAAAATTAATAATATTGTGTGTCCTTCAAATTCCTTATGTTTCGCTTCCAAAATTAATAAAAGAACCTTGTAACATTTTAACATTTTGTTCATTTTAACGTGCCTGAATTTAATAAATACCTTTAACAGCTATGTAATCGTAATACCTTTCGATTTTATTCCGGCCGGCGCAAGCGTATGTGTGACAAAGTAAAATTTATGGAAGACCAATATAAAAAAAGTTTAACGACAGGACGGTTATTTTTTGTCGACGAAACTCGTACCGTCCGAGTGGCGAGGTAACGATATGCGCCGTCGCCGAGCATAAAGCGAGTCATGTACGTTTCGTGGATTGGAGACTCGGTCTATCAGTCCCCTTGTAATTATATCAAGAAGTTCGTAATTTTGCACAGCGAAAGTTCGGCCGGAGGACACATTTTATGGCGCGTTTCGCCGGTCCTCGTCGCGCCGGCCAGCCGGACCCGTGTCCGCCGCCTCTCTTCCTCTCCTCTTCGTTCACCCTTTGCACGCGAACGCGCACCGGCCGCGGGGATGCGCGCAACAAAGTTTTCCCTTAATATCGTGGTCACGAACACGCGGTCGTGTCGCCAACTTTCGGCTTTCGGCGAGCGGAGGAGAAAACGTCGGAGCCGAAACAAAGCCGAAATAACCGTCGCCGGCCGGCGAATTACATATCCGGCCATGTTCGCGGAACCCGGCTCTCTGTCCCCCTTCCGCCCCCTGCGCATTTCAGATATGTCGGATGCTCCACGTGTGCAGGGTATTGCCGTTGAAGTTTACAATTCTGACGTAACGCTTATAGCCGGGCTGCTTTTCGTCGGTGGCCACCGCTCAAATGAAATAATTGATACGGGGGCGCACGTGCTCGCGCTTTAGAGTGATACTTACCGTCTTCGTGCCGCGCGGCGAACGTACGATTTTACATTCCCCTCTTTCCGCCAGCCACACCTCCGGGGCCGGGGCTAATGACAGTATTTTTCGCATATACGCGCGATTGAAAACGCGCGCTTGCGCGCATTCACGCGCCTCATCAAATATTGACGCGATTTTTACAGCGACCCCCCGTGAAGGGGCTCTCCCCCTCCTTCTCTCCCTCCCGCCCGCCGTCTTTCCTCCCCTCTTTCCCGCTTCGGCGAAGAGGACACGGAGGAAGAGACCCGCTCGCGATCGTTTGCCATAAAAATCCCATGAATATTTGACGCGATACGTGACAGAAGGAAGATGATCGAGCGGAATACGAGGAGCCTTCGACGATGAAAAATTCAATCGCGAGTGACTCGCGAGCCGACCGGCTGCAAATTTCATACACGGCCGCGTGACGGCGAGTGCAGAAACGCGTTGCGTGATTCCGACGCGCGTCCGCGCGCGAGTCCCAAGTTTCCCTCTCGGGAAGGGGGAGAAAAAGGTGGACATTCCTAGTCGCGGCGAAGGGGCGCAGCCCTGTCATTCGGTGCCGCAACCCGTCTGCTTTCCGCTCCAACATGTGCACCGCATTTTGCGCATTACCCCGTACCTCCTCGTTAATGATTTACCCCCTGGAACACCGAGGCCTCTCTCTCTCTCTCGCGGTCACATGCGCCGCCAAGAGGGTCGAGCGCCTTTTAACCGGGAATATTATAAAGAAAAAGAGCTCGCGTGCACACGACCGGGAAACTTGTCTCGATTTATCGCCATTACCGGCAATCGAAGTACGCGAGAAACGGTGGAGCGGTATAGCGTGGAAGTTGAGGATAACCGAGGGTGTGACTCTCGCGAACAACTCCCGAGGGTTGCGATGGCGGGTGGCTAATGGAGAACGCGCGTATTTAGTATCGCGGTGTCGTGATGTAAAGTCGTCATTAGTCGCCGCCGGTTGGAATGTGCCGATCAACAGGTTGTTTCGCAGGGTGTTTACCGCGCGCTCGCTTCGAATTTAAAGGATTGAACGTGCTCTGGCGGCCGTTGTTCTCCATCGCTGATCGCCATCGCGGCTAACTACGACAATATTAAAACTACGACAGAGATGAGGAAGCCGACGGGACGGGCCGAGGGAAAGAGAAGGAGCGAGATCGCCGAGTTCGATAGCGGGCAAAGTGTCGTGTTTCTGGCTGCTCACTTAGGATCACTGAATGCAGCAGCCACATCCGGTCTATTCAGGCCCATTCACGATCTCGTCGGTCTCAATGGCGTAGGCGGAGCCGGTGACAAGGAGTTGGTACCCCATTACAAACGCGCGCGCACTCCCGTTATCCTCCGCGCCCGAGAGCCCCGGGGGTTTACGCGCCATGTGCGCGTGTGTGCGTGCATTGTACCCACGTACCCTCCTGCGGGAACTATTGGCGACAAATCGATCCATTCACGTCCGAAATGTCATTCAGCGGGCTCGTGTTGACGCTCGTAAACGGGTTTCGACCAAAATACCGGCATTTTCACCGGCCAAGATTAACGCCGTTGCTTTCCACGGATCGTCGCTGACAATGCCGTGCTTACTCGCCGGCCGGCGACAACTCCCTCCCCCCGTCGTAGGTGAGGAAGTTGACGCGAGGACTGTATCGGATTGATTGACGAGGGAATGATGAAGTGCCTCTTCGCGTCAGCGCGTTCCTTGGGCTGACTGCTGAAGTCGTTGCCTTGCCGAAGCGTCTGTCGATCGAGAGGATCGAATTGCGCTAACGTTTCTTTAAAGGGATTACCATCGGAATGTGCAAAAACGTGGAGAAGCAAGCTGCGCCCTCCCTGTACATTTTTCTTCCCGATTTCTATACAAGAGAACTCTGGGAAAAGAAGACAGTTGGCCAACCCATTTTGGGGCCCACAATTAATAATCGAATTATTTGGATTGTTCGTAACTGTAATCTTTTACGAATTTTACCCCGCGTAACTAAAATAATAGCTATTCTATCTATATCCAAGATTTTTAAGTAATACTAATCAATTCTCACAATTAGGTCCGTCGATATTCGGTAACGCGAAGATAATTGTCACTTAAGAGGCACTAACCGAAATGCCAAGTTGCTCAACTACAAAAAAACCTGTCCAAATTTTTCCCAGCTACGAACAGTCCAAATAATTCCATTACTAATTGTGGGCCTCTCAAAATGGGTTGCTGTCTTTTTTTCCCCCCAGAGAAGAATGTCAAACCAAGAAATCACTCAGAGATCACATGATTTCAGCGTGATACTGCAATACCGAGAGCTATAGTCTACATTCCGACCAGGAGAGCGCGTAACATCCGAAGGAAGCGCACGCCTGATCGGAGCACGGAGAGACAGACGTTAACGAGCTTCGCGAGAATTCGTTTGGTTTTCGAGCTAGTTGTTCGCACGCGATTTGTCGTTTGTCCCCCCCGGTCGTTAAGCAATGTGGATCGGATCAAGAATCTTTATAAACCCTTCAGGTTGAATATTCTCTTGTGATTTCAAATAAGCTCGCTTTATTCGTGCATTATAATATCGCCAATTCCTTTCCTCAGATTCCGTCGCGTCGGAATCTTAAGGCAATCACAAAAACAATAGAAACTATATTACAATCAATCAAATAATTTCGATAAGATATTCTTTCTTCCTCGGATAAAAAGTGTGCGCAGGAGATGCAATTTCTGGGTCTTGTCGTCATTTTATCTGAAACATTTCCTTTCTTTCCAGGCCGCATTCTTTATGATATACCGTGTAAGGTGTGCCGGGATCACTCCTCGGGAAAGCACTACGGCATATTCGCCTGCGACGGATGCGCCGGTTTCTTCAAGCGATCGATTAGAAGGAACCGCCAGTACGTGTGCAAGGCGAAGTCCGAGGGCGGTTGCATGGTGGACAAGACGCATCGGAATCAGTGTCGTGCCTGCCGATTGGCAAAATGCATTCAAGCCGGCATGAACAAAGACGGTAATCGAGGCGCCAGTGCGCTCATTCATTCACCCCCGCCGTTTCTTAAAAGAAATATTTTAGCGAATCTATTTTATAAAATAAAAAAATAGCATTTCCCTCGTTATCGTCCGTTTTCCGCCGCTTGCTAATGTACTAGAAGCCTTTGTACCAAGCGAGAAATCTCTTTACAGCTGTGCAACACGAACGAGGCCCACGAAACTCGACACTTCGTAGACAAATGGCTCTATTCTTTAAGGAGCCCGAAATTATGAATAGCGTGGTGGCACCGCCGCCAACGGCTCTAGATCTCGTTCTACCCAAAGCGCCGTCGGAACCACGGGTCTCCATGCCTGGACCATCGCCCCACCCATCCCTTCCACATCCGGCGTATTGCAACGCATTGACAATATCAAAAGTATGTCTGTGTCTATAATGTATGTACGTACAGGAATAGTCGCCTATTATGAGATAGGCTTTCCAAATTCAATCACAAATCTTTTTTCGCAACGTTTACGCGATCCAACAACGAATTTTCCACTAAACACATTTCACTCCGAGGGCAATAAACTCACGGTAGAACCGGCAGATGATGCATATTAATTTAACGGAAACCCTGCTACACCTCACATTAGGAGCTTGTCTCATAATAGGGGTCTGTCCTGTACGAGTTTAATTTTCCTTGAATTTTCTCTCCAGATATCTTTATAGAGTCCGAATACATTTGTTATAGAATCCATTTGCAAAGTGTAAACATTTTTACGGAAGCGTGAAAAGTTGGGAGACTCGTTTCCAACAGCGACGAAACATTGGGGATCATTGTGTATTCCAGATGCCGTCGACTATTCCGAATCTGCAGTTACCGTTTATACCTTCGATCAATCCCGAGTCCATATGCGAGCAGGCCGCGCGGCTGCTCTTCCTCAACGTGCACTGGGCACGTGATTTGGTGTCGGCAACGAGTCTCGTCATGGAGGACCAGCTGACGTTGCTCGAGTCTTCGTGGCGCGAGCTCTTTCTGCTGGCCGCCGCGCAAATGATTCCTACCCTGGACCCCACGCCCTTACTACCGCCGAGTCTTCAGAGTATCGGGCTCGCGATCGAGGTGAATCGTTTCCGCGAGACCCTGGCCGGCTTCCACGCGATGAACCTGGACCAACACGAGTTTGCCTGCATTAGGGCGATAGTGCTCTTCAAAGCCGGCTTGGACAGCGAATCGGTGTCCAGCAGTAGGAGCACTAGCAGCAACTCACCCAGTCCGGGAAGTCGGCTCAGAGACGCGATTTGCGTCGCCCGGCTGATGGACAGCGCACAATTGGCTTTAGGACAACGACTCAGCGTGGCGTCCTACGGGACTCTCAGGCTCAATAAGCTGCTACTGTTACTGCCTACTCTGCGCTCCGTATCTGCGCATGCCATCGAGGAACTGTTTTTCAGGACTACCATCGGAGTGATTCCGATCGAGAGGATTATCTGCGACGTGTACAAAGCATCGTAACGCAACGGGCCGTCCCGATAACGCAATACGAAACTTGAGGAAAGTACTTATTTGTTACGTTTCTGTTCTGGCTCATTAAGATTTATTTTAACATCCAATATTAACGTTTTATTTATATGAAGAGAAGAATAATTTTGTACATATGATGTGAAATTATTTTTGTTTCTTACTTTTCATTGCTACACAAGGGAGAATGTAAACAATTTTATTTTAATTTTATTAGTATACTTGCACTGGTACGTAAAAGGCAATAATTCTATCGGGGGATTTTTATGCGTTTAATTTTTACTTTCAGCGAATTTGATTGGCCGCAATATGTGGGTAATGTATATTGATGTACATAAAATGCTGTTGCATCTGCATGTTAACAAACATGCAAGTCAGTTTGAACTTGTCCTATGTACGGCTCAAATCGTCAGAGTTTGATTAAATATACACATATTGAACATTTCATTGATCGAGATTTATATTGTGGTTTTATTTCATCTATACATTATTTTATATATTATAACAAGCTCAAACTGCATTGGTGTATCGTGTATCCAACTATACACATACTTGTATATTAGAGCAGCCAATCGAATTTGCTATTAAAGAAGGTGAAGATTACATAATCGTAAAAGGACACGATACACGCGAGATATTAGCTTGAGGCTGATAGATTTAAGTTTTATTAACAGAGAATGCAGTAACGAGATAAAATTATTAGTTGCCGGAGGCTTTGGAGTTGTGCAAAAAATTAATTAAAAGAAGCTGTGTAAAATGTTTCAAGAATAAAATGCTTCGATGAAAAAGGAGTGTGTTGGAAACTAAAGAAATTACTATTATATATATATATACGATAACATGTAAATATAAATGTAAAAACTGTGTAGCTTCGTTATATTCTATCGAATTAAGATACGAAATGTAGGATGATATCTTATTGCGATGCACATGTCAAAAACCATAAGCGTGTGTATAGAATAGATAGGATTTCAAGATATGTAAATAAAACGTTATATATCTTCAAGAATCTCTCTTGCTGTTTCCCGAAGTCCATTGCGTGTAGTTGCAGAAATGAAGACAATAACGCGAGGTAATTATGTCAGGTATTTTCGCCGGCTCCTTTTACAAAACTGTAACGACTAAAGGAGATATGTATGATAGAAGCGGAGAGAGCAAAGGGATTTAGCTGACCGTCGGGACCAACAGGGATATGTAGTGATTTTCCAGTGATTTAAGCTTAACCGTGGGTACAAAGGAGACCGTGCCGAACTTGAAAGGTGCTGTCAGTATTCCGTATACTCGTACCTTAGTAAGCTAACGCGTAATCGCCTGAAATAGTCCCTGCCTAGGGATCTATAAAATTCATGTTGACATCTTTGTCAACGGCCGTTTCTTGCTTCTGTTAGGGGCCTTGTTATTTTTCAGATATTATTCTTTTCCTTGCTTTTGTTACATCGTCACGCCCACGGGCATTAGTGCTTTGACATTACTGTCCGATTCTTAAGCTGGCCATAATTAGAAGCGCGCCGCGTCGTCTGTTTCCACAATTTTATAGATTGTTTTTACAAATAATTTTGCTCGGTTTTCTTCCGCGTATCCTCCAATTGTACGAAAAAATTATTCTCGAGTGAAATCTGGATAGGATTTAGATGGAATAAAATCTGAGTAGAATTTGACGGTTTGTACTTGCGTTGCGATATACTCGAGAAGTACGGAAAAATATTCTCACGAAGTTACGAGATGCGGGACATGTGCAGTAATATTGGCGCTCGGTTCAATCATGCCTGAGCGACTCTCGTTACTCGCATGAGCGAACTCTCGAATATGTTGTGCCACTTACCGGATACTAGTACTTCCTTGTGCCTAAATATGTTTATGTCGATACATATTCTAATTCTCACCCTCTTGCTCACTCAAACTGCGTACGCGCACAAAAGCTTTCCAAACGTCTGAAAATGTTAACGACATACGAAAAACGCACAACCTTGCAAATTATTACAATTCTATAAATCATTTACGCGATCGTTTAGCTTTTATCTCCTGCGTTTGAAAATAGTAAAATAAGTTTCTTTCTCCTATCTAGCGTGTCGTTCTGTTAATGTTATGAAGATCTTCAGGTGTCAAGAAGTCGACTTTTATACGAGTAAATATTTCGCAGAACTTTTACATTTGTTGGTAAGAATTCCGAAAGATTCGGCAAATCAAGGCGTTGGAGGATGTAGCTGTCACATTTAGCTACAACTTTCACCAATAGTGAACCGAGGTGGAACGTTTACCTGGGTAATTCGACAGGCTATTATACCTCGCACAGTAACCTAATTCCTTCGTCGAAAAGTAGCCCAAGCTTATCCGCTGTCCGGTTGAAATCTTGATCGGCTACTGTTTAATTCAAAGTCGTCCATCCATATAATTGCTTCATCCAACAGGTTCCATAGTTATGTTTCATTTTTGTATTTTAGGAAAGTATCCTGCAAGAATCCCGTTGAATTAAATTTTTTTTTGGTATTTTAATTGATTTTGAGTTGATTTTAATAAAACGTGTCACGTGAGATGTTTACATTCTTCACGAAATTCGTATTACAATCGTGAATAAACTTTAAAATCAAAATGTTTTAACAAGTCTTCTATATAAATTTACTATTCTAATTAATGCGATAATACATCTTCCAATAATGTAAATAATGTAAAAACAGTAATTGTTAATTTAATATTAGTGACTGTTTAATTAAATATTAAATTTGATCAAGGCGAGTCCGACGTGGTTACGCAAATCACCGAGCTCTTGGAGAGCGACGGGGGGTGCGTGTATCATTCAAGAGAAACGGAGAGGAGCGATATCGCAGCACCCAATTAACATCTCGATTTAATAAAGCCCTCGAGCTACCGTATGTTACCATTTCCCGCACAAAGTGTCTACCAACCGAAGAAAGAAAGACAGAGAGGCAAAGAGAGAGAGAGAGGGAGAGAGAGAGAGAGAGAGAGAGAGAGAGAGAGAGAGAGAGAAAGAGTCCGCTCGTCCTCTCTGCACCCCTGAAGCTCTCGTAATCGAGGCGGCCAACGCTCTTCAGCAAGTAACACTGTAACGTTTCCGGGTGAGTGAATAATAAATCCCGGGACTTCTGAACAATGACGAGCCACTCCGGTGGCAACAATGACGATAACAGAGAGGCGGCATTATAACATCATAGGACTATGGCCTGGTACTGTGAAATTCCTCTGGTTAAAATAAAAGCTGTTCCACGGCGCACATGGTAGATAAGTGCACCAACATAAATAGCAATATTTTTACTATATCTGGTGATATTGTTCTCAAAATGGCGTCCGCAATTCTGCGGATTACTTTTCTGTTTTCGCAATACCATTTCCGCACCCTCGGAAAAGATTTCTGTTGCCGAGACAAAAATATTCTTGACGCATTTATATTTCTCACTCATTTAGTATAAAAATAAGGCGATTTCAAAATAAAACCAATAATTTTTATTCTCCTCTATCGAATTAAAAAAGATTGACTTACTATATTGACGAGAGTAACTTACATAAATGTAAGTTTATATGTTCTTGCGTTTAGAATAAATTTTCCCTCCATCTTACTAAAATATTCCTTTCTCTATAATAAATATAATTGCCGCTATATTGATCCTATTTTATGATATATTGAAGGGTAATAGCATTGGATCCGGAAATTTTTTTCTGTGAGTGCGGTAATATATCGTATTTCTTTAACATGTATAGCGCAATAAAAATACAAAGAACATACTATTTGAAACTTTTCGCGTAAAAAGAGGAGAGGAAAAGTTTACTTAGCAGCTCAGAATGACCCTCTGAAATTTCATGAAGATGACGTGATTTCAATTGGCACAGCCGTGTGCGTGTGCGTGTGCCAATTTATGTGCAGGCGGTTCCCACCGGTAAAGTATCGAACATACAACACCTTGCCACCTCGCCGCGTCGCGATGAAAACACACGGCCCAGCTCGAGAACGCGCGGCTCATTCCGGGGAACAATGCCGGAAACAATAACGCCGATCTCCCATCGCTTGCCTCCGCCGCCGATCCTGGTATATCGCCGGTATCGTATAAGTAACAGTAACAAAACGCGATTGAGGCACAATGGGGCGACGATGTAATTGCGCCCCACAGTGGCAACTGGTGCTCGTACGTACAAAGAGCACTCGACTATATGTTACAATCTCGATTTCGTCGCCGATCCTCGAAGGCCATAGACGGCAAGAGAAAAAGGAGAAGGACAGGGAGCGAGAGAGAAAGAGAGAGAGAGAGAAAAAGAGAAGCCCGGAGAGACCGCGTCAATGCCGCTCAAGTGACCTCTCACGAATTGCGCTTTGCTTTATGCACCATTGTTGGCTTTGTTTCGAGGTAACAAAATAGAAAACGCGACCGCCATTCTAGTCAATTAGTGACCATGTGATCCACTAAAGTGGGATGTTTCTCCAAATTCTCGGCGCAATTATGCTCTTGCAATCTTTAAATCCATTTTCACACCTTACTATTTTATTTCAAATTTCGCTTAATTTAAATTGAGAATATTAATACAACGCTAGTCTATTAAGAAAGAAAAAATGATAAATGCGTAACTACAACTGAACGCTCTAATATTTATTTTATTGTCATTTTTTGTGAAAAAAGTATTTGTAAACAGACTGTAGAATCATAAAAGTATTACAATAGAAGATAACTTATAGAAATGCAAGTTGGTTTTGACTCTCCAGTATAAACCCACTAAATGTCAGTTATACGCGACAGTTGACCTCTGGCGCAGATATTGTTGCGTTGAAGTCTAATTCTTATTAGCACCGTCTCAATTTATCTTCGTACCAGTATCAAATCTAGAAGGACGACAAAAAGAGACGGGGTCTGAATCGGGGCACATCGGGGTCCTCGGTGCCGTTACGAAAAGGTTCGGTTTGCCCCCGATATAATTTATTCGGACAATAAGCATGCGTCTAACAGACGCTCTACCCCTGCGCCGTGCCGCGGGCATCAGTGTCAGGCACGGTGATGAGCCCCTCAATGACAGCGACCAACATAATCTGTTCCCATCAGCCAAGTAGACATAATGGACGCATCAGCGGCGGGAAGCGACAATGGGAGCCGGATAGCATTTTACAGGAGCGCGCGGTGGTTGCGCCCAGAATTGACGGGGGTGGCGAAAGGAGGGTGGCTAGCGAGTGGGCCCGCGCGAGGGGGCGAGCCGGTGGGGTGAGACTGTCGTCGTCACGTCGTTTCCTAGTGGCGCGCTTGAAACGCGGATGCACGCACGTAACGCAACGCAACGCATTCGGCCCACCTCACGGGTTGGGCTCGCGGTGCCGTCGAGGCCCCCGCTTTATTAAATTCCTGACGCGAAACGCCCGGCACGTGCAAATATTCGCTCGCCGAATGAGACGCGCAATTCGGGATGCTTGCTTACGACGGACGCACTAAATTCAACCCGAGCACCCCGATACGCGAGAGAGCCGAGTCGCGAGAAGCCGTGCCGGAGTCGCGGGAACGCTTCCAGCTGCCGGCTTCCCTCGTTGCCCGACGTGATACGTTCGAAACAATGGCGGAAAAATCCCTGTACACGCGGCGTTCCGCGTCGCTTTTAATTACTTTCCGTGGACGCTGGAAAGAATAGATGGACAGAGCTTCGTGACAAAATTGTCGATAAAAGAACCTTTTTATAATTTTACATCTTGCTGTACACATATCAAGATTCGTGATATCTCAATCTCACTGCACGAAACGGTTTCTGTCTGACAAGCTCATATATTATATGCAAAAGGAAAATTAAACGATATCGAGAATATATACACGTAACGTGATTAAATCCAGCAACTTACATAACCGAAAGAGCAAAATAGATACATATTATTTCTGCATAAACAGGTTGAATTGATTTTTAATATTCAGTATGCTAATCAAGAAAGTCTATCGTAATTAACTTGCTCACTTTAATGGAAGCCTTTATTGAAGCAAGATGATGAAATATGCATGCACGTTCATGAATGACATAATTAAGATCGGTCAGAGATATCTCGAGATTTT